CCAGACTGGTCTGCATAGTGAGTTCCAGGGCATCCAAGGCTACACAGAGAAATCCTGTGTCAAAAAACCAAAACCAAAAAGCCTTTTTCCCCTGTGTTGTGTTTTGTGAAACACGCTCTAATGCAGGGAGAGGGAGCACCTCAGTGGGCTGGCCAAGGCATTCCCCCACCCCCAGGAATCACCACCACGTGACAGGCCTAGTACATAAGGAAGTTTTTTGGGGGAAGGGAGCCATGGAATGGAGCGGGAACCTGAAAGGGGTAGAGACAGAGAAAGAAGAGGCAGAATAAGACAGAAAGAGAGAGGAAAGAGAAGAGGAAGAGAGGAAAAGACCAGTCAGGAACATGTGGGGCAGAGAGAGAGAAGATGGAGAGGGAAAGGGAGGGAGGGAGGGAGAGATTGAGAGAGAGAGAGAGAGAGAGAGAGAGAGAGAGAGAGAGAGAGAGAGAGAGAGTTCTGTAAGTAAAGATAATCTATACACTCTCAAAGCCAACCCTTGGTGATGTTTTTTCCTTTAGCACCAAGTTTTATTTTCTAGTGTCTCCATACTTTTCACAAATAGTGCCACCAACCATGGGACAAGGTGGGGATATTTTATAGATATGACAATATTTTGCCATCTGTCCCCATAGGCTACAAGCTATGTCATGATGATGTTGTGTGACAAAACTTGTCCTGGGGAGATGATATATATATACATTTAGTTATCCCAGATATGGAACCCACAACAGATCAAAGTACAGATACCACCAAAGTCCAACTTGGTGAACCAATGACTTTTATTGGGGTTATTTGCAGAAATATGGGTAAGCAGAAATGACACAAAGAAAGCTGTGCCACCAAAACCAATCTCAGCAAGGGTGATAGACAACAAAAGCTGGAAACATGGGGCACATGGCACAGCCTGCAGGTAGCACAACAGATTGAGGAGTGTCATTTTCATGCAAATCAATTGGTTTGAATCTTTTTCAGGCAGCTTGATTGGTTTTTGCTTCTTGAAAGCAGCTGACCTAGTGTCAACGAATTCCTTGCAGCTTGTCTTGTCTGAGACTGACTCTTAAAACTATCTTATTGTTCATTGTTTTTTATTCTTTACATACATTACCTCTTGACTATAATTTCCCCTACCTCCACTCCTCTTAGCACCCTTCCTCATCTATCCTCTAACTTAAATCCATTCCTCCTGTTTTTCTTCAAAACAAAAGCAGACTTCACTGGGATAACAGCTGAACATGACAGGACTTATTACAATAAAACAAGGCTGTAACGGCCGGTACCTTTGTAATGGCCTGTTCTGCTGCTCCGGTTCTCAGGTCAGGGTCTAGCAAGAGAAAGAGTGGGGACGGAGGGGCGAGAGACACAAAAGATGGATACAAAACAGAGTCTGGTCAAGTCTCCTCAAGTCTCTTTTATTGAAAGGAAATCCTGGGTAGTTATACTCTTTACCACGTGACTTGCCCTTGTGGACAAGCTTAACTGAAGGCACTATGTCACGTGCCTTGTAGCCATGGATACCAAGTGCACCTTGCAGCTGGGGGCACTAAACAGTGTAACAAGATATTTATCAGAGTGTGCTCAGCTGTTGTGGGCTGTTGAAAACAAGTCTTTTGTTAAGGTATATGGCTCGAGATGGCTTTAAAGATGATAGACCCTATCGGCTAAGAGTCAGCTCCCAACACATGGCCTACACCCTCATACCAAGGTTGGATAAAGCAACCCAGTAGGAAGAAAAGGGCCTCAAACACGGGCAAAGATGTTGAAGTTATGTACACCTCCTACTGTGTAGTTACTTATGGATGGATCTATACCAACATAGCCCCTAGAAGAAACAAAGACGAAGGATATCTAAACAACCACCAGCTCCAGCATAGTCCAGGAAAATCAAGATTGATTTAAGTGTCAGCACAGACCACTGAAATTTCCTTCGCCTTTAGTGATAACATGGACAACAGACATCAACACAGCCATCTAGCACAAAACAGACCATGGACACCCACTGGGGTGTTCTGTGATGCCACCTCAAGCCATGTAGATATCCTGTGGTTCATTCTTCAACTAAGGGCCATGTAGGAGTCCTTGATCCTGCTGTAGCTGGAGGCCACATAGATATCTGTGGCCCATGTTAAGACTGAAGGCCAGGTAGATATCTATTGTCTATGTTGCTACCTGTAGACATGTTAAGCTCATAGGATCAAGATGCCATCAGGAGTCATGGTGATGTGCAAGGTCTGGGATGCTTCTTGAGATTCTGTTGATGTCTGAGGTCTGTGTTGCTTCCAGTGTCGATGTTAGTGTCCATGTCCTTGCTGCAGCAAGGGCAGTGTTGATGTCAATGACCCATGTTACCACCAAAGTCTATGGAGTTATCCGTTGTCTATGGTACCACCTGAAGACTTGTTGATGTCTGTGGACTCTGCTGTCACCAGAAACCATGTGGAAGTCTATGACCCATGCTAACACTGGACATAAAGGGCAAAGAAGCTTCTTTAGCAGTGGTATCAGTCATTGCAGGTTCACAGCTGAGAATGAGAGACTTAGAATGCTTCTGTGTCAACACTTCTTCCTCCTCCCAACCCACAAAAGAAAGTCTAGACAGATAGTCATTAAAATAACTCTTAAAAATAGTAATAGGAATGATGAAGTATAGCTCTTCACAGTTGACAAATTCAGGGAAGGACTCAGTTTTCTATAAGGGGCTGAACATTGGGAGTTAGATCATACTACACTGAGTATATGAGCAAAACAAAGTTAACTTGGTATTGTTTTCCTTTTCTCTTATTTTTTCCTTCTTTTGTTTGGGGGAGGTTACAAGGATAGAGTTAGACCTGGAAGGACTTGGTAGTGAATACAATTGGGGAGCATTAAGTTATATTTCAAAATATTCAATAAAATATTATATGAAAAAAGACTCAGAGATACCTCACACTTCTGATATTTGGTGTGCTGTAAGAACACCAACCACAACATATATGTAGATGACCTCATTCAGACCCATACAGGGTTCAAGATTGTTGCTTTAGTCTCTGTGATCCCCTCTGAGTCCTGTTTATTTGCTTTTATGGTCTG